AGACAAGAGAATATTGAAGTAGAGAAAATCTGTTGTCTACGTTAAAAATTCAAGTTAACCACACTGGTTACACGCAATTATAGATTATAAGTAGTTGGGTTAATTCTTCAATCCTGTATACAATCACTAATTTTATAAGATGAAATAGTTGACTGAGCCTATGAGAGCCTTATCAGCTTGAATAATCAGTCAGAACATATTTGAAACTTCGGTAAGCTTACGTATTTCCTCTTGTAGGTGTCTGTAATCAGCAAATAAAATTGGGAAATAATTTAATTGGGAAATAATTTCTCTGCCCTTGGGAATTAAATATATATATATTTATACACCTGAAATACGTAAAAACTTTATTTCTCAACAAGAAATGAGCATCAGTGTGGATGCGTATTCTACTTTGTTAAATATGCTACTAAGTGCAGAAACCAATTACCTGAATAAAAACAATAATTTTGAATGTTTCATATTAACTGCTGTCTCCACTGGTTACAGTTTCTTCGGAATATTTGATGGGCAATAGGTTCTTGAATAGTTCACTGTCAGAAGTTCCTTGTTGCTAATCCTCTGTTAGTTTTTAACATTCTTATACTTTGAAGCAGTGTAACAAAGGTGGAATAATCTTGAGTAAGCCATATTATGGTGAATGTTAGAACAGAGTGTTATTTGATTTCCAAGTATTGTTCGTTGTAGGGATTTAGTTTGATTGGATGGAGGATTTCATTATGAGCTGACATCAGTTAGACAACCATTGGAAAACAAGCCTAGTTTGGGACTCTTCATCAGCACGCACCCACTGAGGTTCCAATCCAGAACCTTCTGGTTACGAGGAGAGCTCGTAGATCATTCAACCACTGGAACCCGATCCAGTGGCCAGACCATGAATTCTAACTACCACCAATTCATGACATAGCGCGACCACTTCTCAATGTCTTCTTCGATGAGTTACTGCCTCACCTTCCACCTGCTGAAATTCCCACTAGAATCCCAGGTCACTGCCTGAATAGGGCCAGTCGCTAGTGAGCACTAGATGAATTTTCAAGTATTGTTTTTCGTAGGGATTTAGTTTGATTGGATGGAGGATTTCATCATGAGCTGAGATCGTTGTGCTTGTAATGTTGAGTCCATGTTTTTAGATTAAATAAACAATTTTTTTTGAAGTTAATCGTACTCTAAAAGTACGTTTCAAATTTCTTCTGTTTTATTGTTTGTTTGAAATTTCTGTAACATATCTTAATTTCTTATCCTCAAACTTTTGCATGACTTACATTTACAATTCAAATGTGAAGTGACAAGTGTGATTCTAAAGTCACTATGTTCATTGGATATATGTATTTATATTACCGAAATTGACATTTATGCAAATCAGAGTGTTATAGCTATTTATCACTTGTAAAACTTTTATGATTGTACTTTCTTTTTCTGACTTTTCGAATCTTGAGAAATCCGATACTCAAGGTTACTGTAAACAAAAACACCGTGAGTAGAACTATGAAAAGAAAGTAGACGACACATTTACCATTAAGCCCTGAGTATTTTATTACATAATTCTTCGTTTTAATATACTTAATTTAAAGAAGTTAATGTTATGCGCATTTGTTTGTTCACAGTGATTGTAAACTATAAGTGCAATTATTTATTAACCTTTAATGTAGATTACTAATTATTTCCCTTGACATTTTGTTTCATTCACTTTTATGATCGTAGATTGGTCAAATTTTAGCTGGGGAAATGATAAAATAAATACACATCTAAGGTGAGGTTTTGAGAAAATAAAACCTGTGAGGTTAATCTAGAACCAGACGCCAAGAAAGTAGTCAGTATTTTTCTTGTATAGATCAAATATTTTTAAATGTTGTTACATCTCATTAGATTATGAGTTCACTTGTGTACTAATTGACGTCTATTGTCTTTTAAGGATAAATCAGACCATGTTCATCCCAAATAAGTTAGCATGGAGTGTTTAAAGAGGAATCTTGAATCTTATCAGTGTTTTATTCAACGTTCTATATGAAAGAGACTTTTTCATAAATCACTATCAAGTATAAAACCTTATGGTATTCAAATAAACCTTCAGCTACGATTTTTAGTAGAGTAGAACATTCGATTAGCCATTTGCTTACTATATACGGTAGGCTTCAGTGATCTACTGTGTCATGCTTACTATATTTACATCTATGGAGGCGCTCATATAAATGTGATATGCTTAACTCAAGATTACTATTACTCTTAGTTTGAAAATCAATAAAATAATGATATTTCTCGACTAACTTGCAATTTGCAATTTTTCACAGTTCAGGGTGAAATTCCGTCAGTTTCATTTGGAAACTAAAAATATTCAGATCAAAATGTGTAATCTTCTGCTTGATACTATAAATAGATAGATAGATAGATCATGACGTTATACATCAAATCAAATTCATAATTTGCAAACTCCTCATGTCAATCAATCAGTAGTATATAGCGTCATGCATAAATTTCTGCATTGTACCAGACTAGCTGAAAGTTAATGTCAGTATGCTATAAAGTCATAGATTCTCAGTGCCTCATACAAAACTGTAAAATATACTCATGTATAGGGTCCTATTTAAATATACTTCAGAAAATTAATACTAAAGTGTAATTTCAAATAACTTTTATTATTACTTCCTCTCACTTAATAAAGTGCAAAAAATTATTATGCTGTTGTACTAAATTCATGTCACGTTTTTGATCATAGTAACGTGCGTCGGTGGCACAGTGGTTAGGACTCTCGCCGATCATGCACATGGTCCGGGGTTCGACCCCCTGCCAACGCACACCTGATATCAATGGTCGGCCTGCAAAATTTGGGCTACCGATATCGCATGCTGAAAATTCCATACTTGTACCGAAAATACGGTGTGGAATCAAGCTGTAATAAAAAAAAATAAAAATAAAATGTCAAACTTCTGGCTTACTAAAGCATTTGAAGTCAGTGTATAGTTATTGCTGTAGGGAAATATTAATCATGGACCAATGGATCGAGTTCCGGTGGCTTAATGGTCTGCGAGCTCGCCTTGTAACTAGAAGGTCCTGGGTTCGAAAGCAGTTGGAGTGGGTTCGTACTGCTGAAGAGTCCCAAACTAGGCTGACGAGAGAGCTGCCCAGTACTCCCAGGTTTTCCAATGGTTCTCTAACTGATATCAGCTCATGATGAAATCCTCCAACCAATCAAATAATCAATGAAAAAGTGAGTAGAAAGGAGAATAAGGTAGTAGTAGTAGTAGTATAATGTACTCTAGTCAGTGTTTAGACTTAATTTACCTTCAGATGGTTAATTCACTCTTTCTACATCTGATTTGTCTTATAAGACTAAAGTTAAGGATGATACAATACACTTTTGTTATGTGGTTACTGTATATATGGATCACAAAACACTAATAAATACACATGAATAAAGTAAGCCTCCCTATATTAATGGCTAAGAAGACAGTCTTTTCTTTTATAAAAACCACGAGATGAAATATTTTGATGAAAATTAAGAATTCTGAACAACAAAACGTGCGACTCAAAACAAGTTCAACCTTCGTATTGTTTGACTGTTGTCGTGATATTATCTCCAATGGGATAAAGAACGGGATAAAAGAGATTATTAAAATTTGCATAACAAAGATGACAGTATTGATGAAAGATGGCAAACGAAAATAAAATTACTTCATGCAAATCATATGGAAGCAAACATCGGTCATATCTTGACATACGGTAAATCTGATCGTGCGTTATTAAGAAAGATAATTAGAGAGAGGAAATAGCACAAACACTTGCAGTAAATAGAAGGTAGAATAAGTAAATTCTTTTCTTGTGACGAGATTTATTTTTCATTATCCACAATGGTTTGAGAATTTTGCTTTTTACGTCACCTTTTTATTGGCATATGTAGGTTTTTTCGCTGAAACATGCGAAATGTATTCAAGTAAATCTTGATATTCCATGAAATCCATGGAGTATAACATTTTAAATTTTAGTTTTATACCAAGAAACTGAAAAAAATGTTATTTTCTTTTGTCAGAAGGTTGTTGGACTTACTAGTTATAACAAGAATCTGACATTTTCTTTTATATAACTGGATATATAACCGTTTCAGGATGTCAGTTTTTGTTCATTATTATGAAAACATTTGGTAATAGGTACTCTGTTTACAAGACGAGATATATTCAAGTGATGCCAGATGTGCTGTGCAGGATAGTAAGCGAGAGAAATTTGAATACGTTATACTTCAACGTTATTCATCTATCTTACGTGAACCTCACTGAGTAGTAGCTGTCTCTTTTCGACTTTATTTTGTATTCACTTCCATTAGATCAGTGCTGATCAGATCAAATTTTGGGTATAGTTGATCTACTGAGGTGGAACTAAATGGAGTGGACTATTGTCTATTTATATCTAAAGGGAGACAAGATATAATAAAACTTCCATAGTATGAACTGAAATGTTACAGTGCTACAATGATCAAACAACATGAACTGAACAGAGATATTTTTTAACTTACTTATTAAAATTCGAATGGAAGAAGTTTCCCAAGTCAATCAAAATAATTGAGAATATTCCATGTAAATTACTGTAGTTTGTCTAACAGCTCAAGTACTCAATCACAAGATACTTGAGAAGTGGAGTTGTAACTCACTGAATTAGGCGCTCAACTTTCAGCCAGTGAACTCCGAGGTCATGTCTTACTCGACATACTTCAGCCTTGATGGCTGAGTGTTTACACTTGACGTCGTACAATAGCTTTGACAGCTTAAAATATTAAAAATGTCATCCAGGTAACAGACTTCTAACTTTCTAACCACATGATGGCTGTACTTTACGCTGAAGTAGTGGTCAGTGCTATACCGTAATCCATTTATTATCCAGTCCAGACTTGAAAATATTTCCGAATTTACTGAAAAAAGTGAAAATTGACTTTAAGTTTACCAATGAATTCGATGTTTAATTTGAAAAACGTGCTAATAATCATGTTTACCTCTTTTTGATTTCTATACTAGCTAAACCTTGTAATTGCTGCATGGATTTGAAAACTGTTCAATGAAATCAGTGTCTACCTCTAATGTCAATTAACACTACTGTCCATAATCAAAGAAGCTGTTCTTTGTGGAAATTCCACATGCTCAAGTAATGCACACTATTATCAGCTGTACACATGCCAAATAGAAAAAAAACATGCCTCTGTACAAAAATTGAAATCAAAAGATACTGTGTAACTTTAAGCTTTCCTGTTGGACAATCGTTTCAGTTATCAGGAAAATATTTGTACACATTGTTTTTAATGTAAATTAAGTATCTTTTTACACTTTCTTCAACTGTTGACAAACTCACACTTCACATGCAAATTCACAGAAACAATAAAATAGAGTCATGCAAATGAAAACACAGATCAGGTGGAATCAATATGCACATATTTCTACTGGTACACTTACTTCTACGAACACTGTCAATACTTTTAACAATGATGATGTATTTAAACTCCCGTATTTTTTTATCTTATCAGAATTATTTTCATTAGTTCTTATTTGACCTATTCTTAATTTCTTTTCTGTAAAAAAATTTATTTACTTGAATGCTTTTATAAATAAAAAAATAGATTTTCACTGAAAACCTTTTTAGACTTATTTTAAAGCAATTATAATTATTTTGTAAAATTTTGAGGTGAATCTATTGATTTCAACTCTGCTGACTGAAACGGGATATTTATGCTTTTGAAATTTGGGGATTTTAGACTAAAAGGTTGGGAGAAAGTAGACGTTCGCCGCCTGTTTCTTTTACACACTTGTGTTCTGCGTTTAAATCACTGGAATCTACGCAAACCTAATGAATGAATTGCAAAATATCTGAGATTTAAGCGAATGAAAAGATAAGTTTTAAGGCTGGATCTCTGAAGTATTGCTGAAGATTTTATTCAGCATACAGAAAACGGATCGTCTTAAAGATGATTACGTCAAGTGAGATAAGCCTTATTTAAAGTTGTGGTAGAGAAGAAATGCATTGTGGTTGTAGGTTGATACAGTCTAATGGTTAGAATAATAATTCCCTTGAGTTTCGAGTGCAACAGCACATCTCCATTTACCCTGTTCCCTGCAGTCCTCTTAAGCTGGCTCCACAATCATCCGTAAGCTCTCATAGACTCCTCACATCATCTTATCTATGTCACGTTCGGACTCCCAACATATCGCTTTTCATTCGAATTCCACTCCAGGGCCTAGAGAGCGGTGAAACTGTGTTTGGTTCGTAATCAGAGTTTCTTGCTGCCACTGCTTACTGGACTGCCATCTGATATTCAGCATGGAGGCAACAGAGGCAACTGTTAACAAGATTATGAAGCCTGTTAAAATGGCTTTTGTGATCGAAGTCTATGACCCATACAGGTGTCAAAAAACCTAAGTTTGCTGTTTATGCTGAATCCAGAAGATGACCAAACTGATTTCAGAATGATGAAGGTCTGCCTGTCTCTACCGATCACACAATTTAATGCCTCCCTTGCAACCCATCCGTAGTTGAAACAACGCTTCTCATACAATTGAAGGAAGTAACACTGTTCAGATTTCTTCCACTGACACTGACTATCACTTGTTGTTGTTGTTCTTTATGTATCTTCATCACCTCTGTTTTCTCTATGCTCACATGAAATCCTGTCTTTACTGCCTACTCCTGCTGCCAACTTGTTGTTTCTAGCCTGTAGATGATTGCGTTTCAGTGGTATTTTGCATAAATCATATGCAAGATACATATTTTCCAGTAGATTCACATTGGTCGAACGTATTCCTGAGTATCCACTCCCTACGGTCTCCGACATCATCCAATCCATCATAATCACGAATATCATGGGTGATAGTAGTCAGCTCTGACTTACTCCAGTATTCATTTCAAAGGCTTGGCTGAGTTTCCTGTTGTTGATCACTTGACATGTGGTATCGTCACGTAGTTCCTGACTGGCGCTGATGAAGATTTATGGCACTGTTTAATGTTGAGGCGTTTTCCAAATTACTTCGTGGTGATGACTGTAGAAGTCCTTTTCAGAGTAGATGCATTTGAGGTGGAGATTTGATTGTCATTCTATGATCTGTTCAATGATGATGCATAGCGTTGCGATTTGATCCACATACGATTTGCTTTTCCTAAATCCAACTTGTTCCAGTCGGAGTTCTGCATTCAGTGCATGTTGTATTTCCTCGAGGATGAAATGACTTAATATTTTGCTTTGTGAGGACAATATCATAATTATGCTCCAGTTTTGCTGTGACCTTCGTTGGTAGTTTGACACGGTGGCTTTTTTTCCAATCACTGGGTACCTTTGCTTCTTTTAAAATTTTCTGCAGTATTCAGGTCTGCATATCCATATCCGGACCCATTTTCAGTGTTTCAGAGCGAACGCCATCCGGTCCTGCTGCTTTCCTGGCATTCAGTAGCTTGATTTCACTTCTGTTGGAGGAATGGTGGTCACAGGGAGTTCTGTGGTTGTTGATCGTACTTCTGGACGAGCTACAGGTGTTGGTTAGTTCATTTTGAAAGTTTTCTCTTTAACACAGTAAAGAATTTTCAGCTAGTTTTATCGCAAGGTATTTACTCCTTGTGCGATGTCTTCAAATAATGTAATGACTAATAATGCATCACTTGAAGCAGTATAAATCCATCCAAAGATGCTCCATTACTCCATGAAGTTTTTAGTCTATGTCATTCCAAAAGAATTCGTAGCAGGAAGTTGAAGTTTTTCTAAAAATGTGCTCGAGAGTATGTTACAATTCATAAAGACAGATGGTTGTAGTAATATGAAATGCAGTTAATACGATTCATTTTATTGGATGGAAAAGAATTTGGCAGCTCAGTGATTTAAGCAAGCCATCTTGTATTCTCTGAAGTGAATGAAGTTTAATTTTAAAGGTCTATAAAGACTGGAGTTATCCTTCTGTGCTTCAAGTTCTGTCTATGGGTTCATTAAGAAGTGCAAGAACTTACCAGACACTGATATGGACGTACTGCTTACTTTTGCTGGTTGGTACTTTTCAAAGTTGCGAAAGCTAGCTGAAACATTCGAATTAGACAACACATACCATGCCTATTATTCCTTTAAATTATATAATCAGTTGCGTAACTGTAAAGTGACTGTCATTTAAATAAAATAGAGAAAGTAGATGTTTTTTAGTGAATTTCTAATATCTCTTCATTCTGTATTAATACACGCTAGTGAAACACACATCTGTTGTTCTCATAAGAGTAGCTCCAAAAAATAAAGTTTCTTTTCAACTTTCAGGATTGTTTTTCTAAACCTTACAAACCACACTAAGGAGATAAAGATATGATGGAATTACATTGAAGTATTTATCAATAGAACTTTGTCATATAGCGTCTTCACTAGCGCTAGATTCGTTTTGTTCATTGTTTTCATAAGAGCTATGCAGGCTAAGAGTTGACCCAACAGTTACTTAACATGTTTGGCAGCAATAAACAGTTCTCTCTGAATCACTTATGCTATCTGATCACATAAAACAAGAAAAAAGACATTTTAACATGTAGTTCCTTTAACGTAAATTGACCCATTTTAGTAGTGTGACATGCCAACTGCCATAAAATAATGACTATTCAGTCATGTACAGTTGTGATTATATTTGACAACTATACGTGGGTCACACCATAGAACTAAACTATCCTTCATGATTAGTTATGGGATTTACAAAAAATCAGCTATGACAATCAATAAATAATTTCGTATTGTCTCGCATGACATTTATGATTTCGCTACTACCTACTGCTAATATTAGTATTGAAGAAAAAGTCTAGATATTATAAGATGAATGGAATCTACAAATTAATTTTGGCAATCTATTGAATTCTTCTGTACAGTAACACTCAGCTGTCCTTCATACGGTTATACACAATCTCTGATTTAAGTCATATTTTACTCATATGTAACCTCGCCTAGTTAACTAGATAGCTAGTTTTCTAGTCGGTCCCACGCCAGGGTAAAGAGGGAGGGTTGGGCGTGTGGATAGCAACCCCATACCACTAACTCTTTCAAACCGATAGAGAAAATTCAGCACAGAGAAAATATATTAAAAATACAAAAAATCCAAATAACAATCTTATTCTTTGCTCGAATCGGAGAGGCGAGATGACACAGTGGGTTGGTGAAAGCCTTCGGGAAGCCGGTCAGCCGACGTGTCTTCTCTCGATGAAAGCAAGAGCAACAATGGGGACGTAGAATGTCCGTACAATGTACGAGACTGTGAAGGCTGCCCAAGTAGCCAACGAAATGTGAGGATATGGCTTAGAAGTACTGGGTATCTGCGAGAGCAGATGGAATGGATGTGAATTGACAACATTGTCAACGGGAAAGTCAGTAATCTACTGCGGTCACCCAGAAGACAACCACGAACACACCGAGGGAGTGGCCATCGTGATTTCACTAGTGGCAGGCAAAGCACTAATGCAGTGGGAACCAATTTCATACAGGATCATGATAGCAAGGTTCAACTCAAAAGCAAGGAAAGAAGGTTACAATTATCCAATGCTACGCATAATGCTAAAAACAACGTGGAACAAGGGAAGAAGGAAGAATTCTATAAACAACTACAAACAGTAATGGACAACATCCCAAATGGTGACATCAGAATCCTCATGGGCGATATGAGCGCTAAACTGGGGGCTGATAATACATGAAGACAACTCACCATGGGTCGAGAGGCTCTCACTCGGCGAAACGAATGAGAACGGAGAATTATTCGTTGGCTTCTGCGCTTTCAATGATTTTGCGATCGGAGGCAGCGGGTGCAAGCACAAGCATATACACAAAGCAACATGGATTTCGCCTGACGGACACAACACAAACCAGACAGACTCCATTTCAATGCTGCTCAAGGAAGTGGAGACGCAGCCTGCTGGACACAAAGTCGAGAAGGGGAGTAGATGTGGGCTTAGACCATCATCTAGTTCAAGGAACCTTCAAGGTGAAGCTGAAATACATGAAAACAACTGGAGACAGACCACAATTCAAGTTCAACATTCAGAAACTGGACTGAAGGACAAAACTACAAGGGATGCCTTCGCTGCAGACCAGATCAGAGCAAAGTCAGACACACTACGTGGCATCACTGAGGAATCATGTGTGGAAGAACATTGGAACTCTCTGAAAGCGATATTTAAGGAAACGTGTACAACTGTTCTCAGAAGAGACAAGACAAGGAACGGCTGTCAACGGACACCTAACTGGAAGCTAATGAGGAGAGGAGGATGGTGAAAGAGAAGATGACTACTCAATGCAGAGATGGACAACAGAAGGAGAAGCTGAGTTCAATGTACACTGCACTGAATAAAGAGGGAAGTGAAAAAGAGTGAGTTATGGGGAAGACAAAAGACAGTTCAACGACACACTGGTCGGTAACTGAAGCAGAACAGGTAGGCCGTAGGTAAAAGAGACTTCAGAAAACTATATCAGGTTGTGGTGAGAGATGGTTGCTAGCCAAATTGGTTGACCATAATTGAGGTCAATGTTAGTCATGTGAAAACAAGGTCAAGATGGACAGGCGGATACAGTTAAATAGATGAACTGACACAACCACAAGAGATGCAAGGTTAACTTTGTGTGAGAAACAACCAA